ATCTCTGTTTCTGGAGATCCACTTCAAAGACTTCTTTTCGTAAAATGTGCATTAACACCGCTGGGGGTGGGGGGCCGCCGATCCCCGATCTGTCCTGCATGGAACATGAAACCTTGGGTAATGATCCTTCTTCCCTTTTTCTGTCACTCAAAGGATTGTACCTACTCTCAAGAATAGCTCCAAACTGCTTGATCTTGACTCTCGAAGGGCAACTGCATACACCTCTCGCTGGTGGAAGATCACCTAGTGTGCAATAACTATCATTTATTCGCTTTAGAGCAGAGACCTCCGGTGACATAAAATGCAGGTTACATGCAATCTCATTCAATAACCCAATTCACAAGGTTTAATATCGACCAGACTAGAGGGAGGAGTTAAGGGGAAGATTTTTTTTAAGTGGAACCACTCTGCCGCTTGGTGTGTGTGGAGGAGATGGCGAGAAATAATACACTTTATTTCGCTTGTACCTACATGCTCTGATCAATATCCTCGCCCTCTAACCAAACGTTAAACGCCTGAAAAGATTCGCGAGAAAGAAGGCGGAAAAGAGATGCCAAAACCGAAGATTGAACTCGTCGTTTCACAAACACTTCAATTCCCACGTACACAGTACTTACCCACCCACCTCCTTGCCCCCGGGAGTCTCGGCTCCATCTGTAGGCAAGTAGAGTATGTAGTACACAATGGTGATTGGGAATGATTCTTTGAACAATCCGGAATAGGGGGATCTACATACTCGCAGTACAGTCTTCGTGGATAAATCCATGGGTCACCAGGATTAGTGTTCGGATGGTAATGCAGGAACCTTCTGAACTTATTTTATTAGGACACACTTCGTCTCTTCATCTTCCCGGGTTGTCCTTTATCGACTCCTAGACATATCGCTTAGTTCTAGCCCTAGGCCTCCATTCCCCAGACCGAAGCTTCTGTGTGTTTAAGACATCATCCCGAAATGGTACTTACTTGCCCTCGTGAAATTCCCGCATGAATCCAACCGAGCATGACATTGCGCGTTCTGTCTTTCTTCTCTAAGGCCGTCTTGAGTGCCTAGGTAGGTATGTAAATATTTACCTAGGTACCACCTACATGTAGGTAGCAGTGCCCTCTTAACTCAACTTCAGTTGCAAGCGCGAGCGGCACAATTTGAACACGCACTTAGGCGCGAGCTTGCAACTGTCACAACCCAGGTCAGGTCACAAGTCTGACCAGCTATAGGAGAAGTGCTTCTAGCAAGAGTGGCCGAAAGAATGGAAATAGGATCGGTGAGTTCTAATTGACTTGACTCGCCCAGAGACCTTATGTTGGAATGAATCCAAGATCCGGATTCCAAATGTTGCAGGCTCTCTTGAGGTGGCCATTGGCGATACTAATATGACAGGAGATAATTACTATCAAATTAACCCCACAATGATATTGCAGGCTGGTAACGGGGAAGAGGAAAAATAAAACGATGATTGGAAAGGATTAGACGAACGTCATATCAATCGCATCGAGCTACTGGACGAGACGTTATTGATAAACAGATAAGTACTCAAGTAGCATCCTCAGTTCTGTTTGGTGTGGCGAATTCACTCCGGCGCTTGCGCTGCAGCGAATCATAGCGCTGCACAACGTTTGGACAAAATCATTGGCGCCCGTTTTGAACAGCCACCCCAGGACCTGAAATTTGCAGGCAGACTTTGCAGGTGCAATTGGATACCCACTTGCGAACGCGCGGCAGGTGCGTTCTACGGATTCTTTTTTTCTCCTGTTTTTCTGTCTTTCTTCTCTTCCTCCCGGCCGGTTTAATCCGTGCGCAGAACTGACAGCAGTGGCTTTCCAAAATCACGGTGCTGGATGTATGCCGTGATCTGAACCACTTTACAGGCTGGGGGAAACTCGGTCTATCTACACGCCTACAATTATATACAGTACCACATATGCCCCCTTGGGCGAGCTATTTTTATCCGGGTTCCGACGAAAGATTTGAGATGGTGGAACTTAACTCGAGCTGGCTGACTGGCCGTGTTGGGCTTCATGATATGATATGGCGCCACTACGATGCATAAGTAATCGATATATATCCACGTGTATTAACGACAAGCTTTCGAGTAATTTCGTTAGTTAGGGGCCTGGGTGGTTTTGGAGCTCGAGCTGGATATGCTAGCTTTTCATAGGGTTTGATCAGCTAACTAAAGCAAACACATATATATACTTATAAATATCTATGTGCGGAGAGAAAGCACCTACATGCACATAGATGTGAATGATTATCTACAGACAGATGATAGGAATACATCAATCTTCAACCGTAGAAAGCATGGGTACCACCGGAAATAGGGTCATTTGATAGAGATCAATTTTATGTTTACTTACATACATGTACTCAATTTTGTAATCGAAAGCTCACTAGTGAAGCTGCGACTGTGATGCAAGAACTAAACAATGTCTCGTCCTATCTCACCTCAGCACATTGGCTAGCCCCTAAACCCAAGAAACTCCCACACACGGTAGCAGAGTACGTACATAACGTAATGCTCCAACTATCGCACAAGTATTATCCCCGATCATTGCTCGCTACGAATTCAACTCTAGGTATCAATTGTATCTTAACGAGCACTGCTAGCGCTATAGCTCACACGCTTCCCCAGACCCACACTAATACAACATGCGTGGTTTATGCCCGTACAAGTAGGCATAAACCCTGTCTGTAAGGATCGGAGTAGAGCCAGTTCCGGAAAAGTCTGGAACACTGAAATCCTGCTCCTGTTGCTCACTGACCCGAAGTTTTGGTTCATTGGTAAACCCAACTAATCAATCACCATATGATCGTTGATCCTATGGTGCGAAAGTATTCCTCATAGGATATCACTCGGCTGATTGAAGAATTGGTGAAGTTCTTCCCTTTTTTATTTTTTTTTTTTTTTTCATTGTTTGTTTAACTGATTAATTGCATAAGTTCTTCCGGTGAAAAATATGAAATAGGTAAATTTGTTTGGTTGACTGAGCTACTATACTATTCGGGGGGGGGGGGGGGCATCTCAAGCTTTATAGACCTATGGTTTGTCATAATTGAATCGTCGAACACCATAAAGATATATACACATTATTGTAGATCTATGACATTATCAATCCTCAATCGAATTTATATGTACAATCATCATTGCCCCACTACATGAGAATTATATCTTTAGGCGGTTAACACTTTCTCTTCTTATCACGATGCTCTAGATTAATATTCACTAGCTAGTACAAAGAACATAAGCCTTATACTAGACGTCTGGATTGGTAATCGTGCTTGAGAATTTGGTCCGCATACTTATTTTTGTAGTTCATTCCAACAAGGAAGTCCATCTTCGGATTTTGCCGAACTCGAAACTCGTTGCAAGGACAAGTTAATTCGAGTGATATTTAGTGATCATCCCTGACTATTTGATAATTTCAAAAAAATCTTTTCTTTCGCAAATCAGCCGAAGGGATTTCCGTCACCGTGATGTGTATCTTCACCAGAATGGGATGTTAATGAAACTGCCGAGTGCGTTTCATCCCCAGCCAAACCCTCGTATTCACACCACATAGACCCACCCACCTAGACAGGGGGCGGTCTCCGGATGGCCGGCGGCATATGTAGCAGATTTGTTCGGAGTAACCACCTCTTAAGTCGCAAGGCAAGAAAGCATATTCCATCTTATGGCGAAGTTCTTCCTATATTACTTCCTTTAGGCTCTGGTTCTTTTCCCCGTCTCTAGCCTTTGAAAGTCCGTGCCTATGTTTTGCACTTAATTATCATGCCGAACCGAAGATGCGGCCGTGTAAATTATCCACTTAGGTTACCGAAAATCTTTTACAAGAACTAGAGATCCACCGGTAAAAGCAGTGTACTATAGCAGGTATACAAGGTTCATAATAATATAGATTGTGATAGATCTGGTATTTAATCCGCGCTCGGCAATTAACCTAGTTTGAAAGGAAGAAAAAATTTCTTTCTGTGAATGGTTAGCTGACGCTTTGATATGTAAACCATAGGGGAAATCAGGAATCCCAACCTAGATGTATGATCCTCAAGCAGGAAGGAGGGCCCCGTGTGATCTGTTTTCTGGGAGGCACATTTATCCTGGAATTTGCAGCGGGGTCACAATTTTCTTAGAATACTCCAACCACGGTATACACATGTACAAATACCAGTGACTAGTAGTGGCCCACCTCGCGACCACGAGGTCTCTCCCACCGCCATGCAGTATTTCCCACCTCCAGTACACGTACTTGCTCACCCATAGTAGTTGGCCAGCTCCAGTGTTTCCCTTAGCCATCTGCAGTAGTTTCCCATTGCCAGCGCCTCCCATCATTGGCAATAGCCAGCTCCCATAATCGCTCATTGCCAGCTCCCTCAAATGTCCACCTCCTACGTAGTGATCCAGTTCCTTCAGTTAATAATAATTTATCAATTCCAATACCGCCTCCAATTAGTTCCAGCTCCAATTAATTCCAGCTCCAGTTGATGCCACCTCCAGTTGATGCCACCCCCAGTTAATTCCACCTCCAGTTAATTCTACCTCCAGTTAATTCCACCTCCAGTTAATTCCACCTCCAGTTAATTCCACCTCCAGTTAATTCCACCTCCAATGCCATCCTGTTAATGAGTTCGGCATGCCAGTGTCATTGCCCGCTCCCAATTTTTGGTGGGTGGGCTGGTTGCTATGCAGCGTTAGGGTTTCTCGCTCCCGGCCAATCAGACTGCAAGGACTTCAGAAAAACCATAATCCAGTACATAATAGATGTAAGGTCAAGCTTTGAAGGAACTCTAGTAGCTACATGTAGCTTCGAGCTTCGCGAATTCGACTAAACCCAACCAACAGCATGGTCAACTAATATTATTAGTAAGCTACACGACTACAGCCTTTCGGTTTGGGCCTTTCACGTGATGCAATTTAGTAGGCTTCTACTGAAGGGTTTTAGGGTTGTCGTCACGTCTAACGACAAATTCTTCTGCCAGGAATACTGATGCGCGTACAGTACGCGACATGCAAAACAGCTCCGCTTACCCACCTGAAGACATGGAATGGAAGAAGCTACCCGTGCCATTGAGCGAGCTGCGCCTTTCCAGTGTCCTCCGCTGCGGTCAATCATTCAGGTAACAGCCCTTCCACTTTGCCCTTTGAGGTTTGGTATTGAATAGTCATGCTGACTGCTTGTATGTAATGCAGATGGAAATCCTCCGGAAATGATGAATGGTGAGCGAGATGTTACAAGCCAAAGCCAATGTTAATGATTCCAAGAACCAGATTAGTCTAATAATCTGTTCTTGAGTCTACCCCAGGTCCTGCGCACTGAGTGGCCGTATATTGTCACTCAAACAGGATCATACACATCTTTACTACCGTGCGATATTTCCTTCTTCGGCGGTGGTCAAAAAGGAGGAAGACAATATCAAGAACGAGCATGGTATCAAACATGAAAATGGAGTCATTGTAGACGATACTGTCGAATTAATACGCGACTATTTCAATCTTTCTGTAAACTTGACAGAACTTTATGAGAAATGGTCCTCCCGCGATCCCCATTTCAAGAAGAAAGCCCCTTCTTTCACAGGAATTCGAATGCTCCGCCAGGATCCGTGGGAAAACTTAGTATCCTTTATTTGCTCGTCAAATAACAATATCAGTCGCATCGGACAGATGGTAAACTTGATGCCCCTACCAATGGCAATAATATCATTTCAACCAGCTGTATGCTAACACTTACAAACCAGGTCGAGAATCTCTGCATAACATTCGGCACTCCACATGGGCAGCTCGGCGAGACACCCTACTATGACTTCCCACCGCCATCCCAACTCACGCCTGCTAGCGTCGAAGGGAAGCTCCGAAATCTGGGATTTGGTTACCGCGCCAAGTTCATCCATCAGACCGCACAGATTGTTGCTGCGCGTGGAGAGGACTGGCTGCACGGGTTGCGGCACGTGCCGTATCGGGAGGCACACGAAGCCTTATTAGAGCTCCAGGGAGTAGGCCCAAAGGTGGCAGATTGTGTGTGCCTGATGAGCTTGGATAAGAAGGAAAGCGTTCCAGTTGATACGCATGGTATGTTATATCAGTGCTCTAGGGTCTTGGTTAGCAGATCTAGAGTGAGAGCTAATACTGATCTGTGGGGATAGTTTGGCAGATTGCTATGCGTGATTATAAGTTCGGGAAGGGGAAGCATAAGAGCCTGACCAAGGCGACTTATTTGGCGATTGGAGACCACTTCAGAGAACTCTGGGGGGAGGAAGCAGGGTGGGCGCATTCGGTTCGTGCATCTATCGGATTTTACCGTTTTTATGAGGGGAATGCTGACAGTTTGCGGTTGAATAGGTCCTATTTGCAGCGGACTTAAAAGCATTTGCGGTCAAGGAGGTCAAAATTAAGAAGTCTCGCACCAAGACCGTAAAGAGAGAGGTGAAGGATGAAGACTCAGAGAGTAGCAGTAACGGTGAAGACGCACCTGGTACTAGCACCACCGTGAAGAAAACATCAAGGAAGCCCAAGGTAGAAGTCAAGAATGAGGACGAAATTGACGGTAGGGAGACTGAAAGAAAGGTGAAGCTTGAGGTCAGGGTTACGGACGAAGATGAGGGTGGGAACGAAAATGTCACGGGAACCGACACCGACACTGACACTGGAGTGAAGAGTAAAGATAACGAGGTTGTCGATATTGATACCGACACTATGAGAAGGAGTAGGGGGAGGGTCGAAGTCGAGGTCAAAAATGAAAAGCAAACTGACGAGGCTACTATTACTATAACGAGGAGAACTAGCAGGAGGAAGGTAAAGGTGGAAGTCAAGGAGGAGGACGATGATGACGAAGAAGAAGACGACGAAAAGCAAGAACAAGAAGGGAAAGTAGTTAAAAAGGAAAAGGCCATCAAGAAAGAAAAGGCCGTTGTCAAGAAAGAGAAGGTTGTCGTCAAGAAGGAGAAGACTATCAAGGAAAAAGCTATAAAGAAGGAGAAAGTGGTTAAAGAAGAAGCAGGTTTAAGTTCAAAGAGGGTCTTGAAAGCTGAGGATGATGAGGAGGAGGAACTCGATATCAAGTCGGAAGACTTAGATGTTGGGCTAACAATGGCGGATAGAATCAAGAGGCGCAGAAGGCATTGAAGATGAAGAGGAGAAACGTAGGCCTGTATGATATCATCTAGATTTTGGATTGTTCTCTTAGGGCCCTTCTTAATTGTGTATCTCAATTGTTTACCATAGTTGTCTCGATCTCGAGGTTCTAAAAATTTATTAAAAGTAGGCTGGATCCAGTTGGGTCCTGCTCCAGACAAGAAGTAATATACTACAAACTACAATGTAGTATATAAACAAGCCCAGATTTTCTCATCCTGCGTCGCCAGCTTCAACATCCTACAGAGCTTGTATCATCGCAACCAAGCCACACCAAATTGAACGATGAAGCAAGATTACTGTGTCGTTTTCTTATAAATCCATTAAGGCACCAGGCCCGTCGCTGAGCTTACAAAAGTCGCTGTTGTCATTCGGCGTTTCATAAGAACCACAACTACTACAAGATCTGGATCTGGATGTTAAGGCCTACGCTTAGGAGTTAGTTGTCTAAAAGGATGATTGGATGTACACCCGTAGGAAAAAAGTGAGGAAACAACGAGTGCAACCAATCAGAACCCTAATGAAAAAGTGAAAATGGAAACGAATAGAAGTAATATGACTACACAATGAGATACAGAATAGATACTACGGCCTCTGAACTATATTTACCACTTTTTATGACTTCCCCTGTTCTTTACTACTGCTGCAATTCTCTTTGGTATGCTGTCAATGATTTTATATACATTTTCCCAATCTAGCCTTTCCCACTCTTCCCTAGCTTGGGCTTCAATAACTTTTATGTTTTCATTAAGAGTAGCCTCTCTTCACTTTCCGGACTTGTCAAAAGGCATGGCTAGGGAATACTCGTGAGGCTGTATTGCGGGTGTGGGGATGTCAAGTTAGACGCACTCATTGTCACGCTACTCATTGTTTCCTCACTTTTTTCCTGCGGGTGTACATATAGTTATTGATGATCAACTGAAGAAGGCAAGAATCCCATCACATACGACGTAATAGTACATTGGTATGGCCCCAATTGCCCTCCCTTCGTTCTAGTCTAGACTAAAACTAGTTTAGGAGTCTTTATTTCCAAGGCATATCTTCAGTTAGTTGTGGGCGTCCTTCTCTGGTCAGAAATCTCAGGACTGGAGACTTTCAACTGTGGATAATTCTTCTACAAACCAGTCCCGCAGTATTCTAGGATGTAGATTGCATCATGTTGCGCCCCCTTTGTTCTACCACAATTGCACTTGTGGGTGCAACAGTACTAGTACAGATTTATAATACCATGGACTCAAAATTAGTCCCGGGAGTCCTTATCATATCATCTACATCACCCTAAAGGCTCGAAATATCGAAACAAATCCTGTCTAGTATCTCTTGACCGCTACTCTAACCATCCAACTGCAGGTCAACCATACCCACAAGTCCCGTTAATTAACACAGAGGTAGCTACTATTATGACCTGAGGATCCAAGGTCAAGCTTTCTCTACCTCTCTCTTCCTAGGAATTCCGTCTACTCTAATCTTCTGTGCATATGCACCCCTCCGGCTATTGATCTCTGGATATATAAGTTGACCAGGAAGCTACTTTGGCTGCGATATAAAGCTTCCTCGGTATCCCCGGTTCACATGCGCAGAACCCCCCAGCACTGATCCATAACAATAGCTGCAAATAACTTCCCTCCCCGCATTATTCATTCATTACGCGTACCGGGTCGCTGGTCGGTACCGAGCTAGATCGAGGGTGCTGGGGAAATCCCTTACTAGATACCGCGGTACCATTCGGTAATAACTAACGATGTAGAAGTTTAGACGGCCGGGACACCCGGGCTCGGGATTCGAGATTGATAGATAGCGATGTTATAGCGTAGGGCGGATGATCTGCATGATATAGATCCACTGACTGGAAGGATTCAGCCAAGAACCTTTAAGGGCTCAAATGAGTGGTCCTGCGTTCATAGCGTATCACTCGCCTACTGTAGCGTAAGAGCAGACTCCAGTGTTTCACCTCGAAGATCGAGTAAAAGAAACCCAAGACCCAACTCCCGATCCATTCAATTGTAACCACCGACCGGCCGGCACATCACCACCATCGTTCTGGAGTGCTTCCTATCCTCTATCCCCCATCGCAATCCCAAACCAGGGGCTGGATAATTAGGTAAATTATCGGCGACCTGCTGTGGATTGTGATGCGGCGCATGAGTACACATGTCCAAAAAATCTGTGTCCCAGCTAGCCCTGCCCCGCGATTCATTTTTCCTAGCGGAATATGGGGTCCGGGCGGGGAGGGAGGGAAGGAGGCCAAGACCCGATGTCAAAGATGTTAGACTTCAGGCAGGAACCTTAGCCGGGGAGTGGATTGCGTAAGGCGCGCGGGTCGGCCGGCCGGGGATTGCCGTGCGTGTTGGCATGTGAATTTAGACAAGACATGCAGGTGTAGGTATGTATACACTAGGTTAGGTACCGTACCTACACTGGTAGAAGGTAGAGCTCGGTTCGATGCAGCTTTTGCCCACCGATGCCCTTGCGTGTGTGCATATGCATGCAGGTATGGTTTATTAAGGGAGGGATCCGGAGGGTGTGAAAATGGGGGCCGGCGTGCTGGGCATCCGACGGGCGCTATCCGAGCGGGGCGAGTGATGTGCTGTGAGGCTGGTGGGTCGTGGAGTACGTAAAGTACGCGTGCGTGTGCGTGTGCGTGTAGGTAAGTCAAAGTAATAAAGACTTGTCATGACCGGAAGGGAAGGGAGGGAACGGGCTAAAGAAGGGCGAGTGGGCGAAAAAGGTCGAGTCTTTCGTTATAATCATTAAGCTAGTGCGGTGCATGCTGGCATGTTTGGATTCAGGTCTCGCTGCTTCTACATGTCGCTGGTATCGGTGAGTTAGGAATTTGGTACTTTTCGCCTTGAGTTTATGAGAATAGGTCATCAGATCTTATCTGAGCCCGCTGCTCTCTTTGACGCTCCTGTCTGAGAAAAATATACAGATGGGTATGAAAGGCAGGATTGACTTCCAGAGTACAGACAAAAGACCTGTCAAGACAGGAATTTGATTCCCACTCCATGTGTTTCGGCGTGCTAACAACTCACCACCGACTAGGCCGCCTGCATGAGGCGTGAGATATCGAACCTCAAACTCGCCTTGACGCTAACCACCCAATATCCCACAGAGTACAAGACAGAGATAGGACCGCATCAATCCGGCAGTACATCGTGCATCAATATGTTACTCCCACCTACTTGCTTACGCTCTGTACTTTCAAAAGAAAAAGAAGAAAAAAGATTTGATAATTCCGACAACCCAAGATTCCCCCACAGCACTGACACCTACATGCTGCGTTTCGACTACATTAACGACGATGGTTTACAGATCCAGATATTATATATCGAACGTTAAACGCATCTTGTCTTGGTAATGATAACAAGTAGCTGCATGAATCTACAGTCCGGCTGCCATCCCAAGTCAAACAAAGGCCGCACGCACAATTCTACAGCTGCCATAGAAACCCTCAAGCTACAGCCCTATCTGAGTGTACTAGATGAAGATGAGGAGGACATATGGCGGCCAATGGTTGGCGGGAGCACACCGCGACGTACGTAGATGCCCAAAGATCCATGTAGTAAAAAAAAAAAACAATCAATCTCCCGTCAAAGAGCCCATACATCACAAACTGAACACCCAGACCCATCAAATGATAAGTCTGGGTATGAATCGAAGCTTAAAGAAACCATCTAGACTCCTGAAAGCAAGCGTGGATGGATGGTGTTTGCTTGGCGCGCGAGTGACGCTTCATGACTCTACCGGCAACTCTGCCCGGTGGGCATCCGGACCCATAGATTCTAACCCCCGCAGCACTTAAATGGATAGTCTAGACGGCGTTGTTTTGAAGGAAGGGTTGGGGCGAGGAAGAGGAAATAATATGCCTGCTGTCTTGACACTCTTCTGCCTCTTGGGTGCGGCCTTGACGGATCGGCTGTTACAGGTCGGGGTTTGAGGGTCTAAGGAGGACCGGAGGTGCCTGGAGAGGGGTGGCGTGTATGTATACGTAACTCACCATCAAGTCACCTTCATTAAAGTAGAGCGGCCACGGAGGACGGTAGAAGCGGAAGCGGATGCGATTTGATTGATGGGTCATCGCACTACAGGCTACATCGGGTGTTGGCTATCCTCCGACTTTCCTTGCGAGAGGGTTTATTGTTTGACGGAAGGTTTGACTTGATATTTGAGCTCTAATCCACAATATGGCCTTGCCCCGCCAATAGTGTGTACATTCGAGTGATAACCCATGATCAAACCCCGCCCCCAGACAGACGGCACGTTTGTGCAACCTAACCTAACCTACGGAGCTGGTGCCAATTGCACCTGGAACAAACTAGTACCATTCCAAATTACCTCTCCTCTGAACCCACAGTATCCCTGGAAAAGGTCCTACATATTGACATTCTGACCTACGCCGCTCTTGCTCCTTGTTCCCCGCTCCTTCTCCCTCCTTATAATTTCACATATTTACCAACCGATCCAACCAACCAAAGCCAGCTAGCCCAAAAACGATATATATCCCCGAGCCAAATTGTCCAAATTGCATCTTTGGGTATTTTCAGAAACTCCATCCACGCACCATAATAACATAAAAGAAAGATAAACCATGCCCTATAGCATGGTATGGTAATTTGATTTGGAAACGAGAAGAAAAAAATAATCCCAACTCCACCCACAAAAGATGTCCACACACCCACAAAAAGCCAAGTAAGTCAAGCACAGCATAACATAAAGATAAAAGCAAAAAAAGAATATCAAAAAAAACAGCACGCTCCAGGCGCCACAACAAAAAGCAAAAAAAAATCATAAACAACAAAAGAATAGAAAAAAGAAATATAGATGAAAGAATAGATGAAAGAATAGATGAAAGAATAGATGAAAGAATAGATAAAAGAATAAAAAAACTTTTGAAAAGCCACACAACCACTACCTAGCATGGTTGACCAGGGCTTCGAAAAGCTCCTCGGGTATCTTTCTCACCAAGCTAACCGCGACACTAATGATGGTCTTCGAGTTGAGTGGTGGGAACTGGCGGAGAAGCTTCATGGGGCTATAGAGGGTTCAAGTTAGCATTGCGAAATACTTATGTGACAGAGGAGCGTGAAGAGGTACCTTTGAGCGACCAGGAGCTCGTCACGCATTAAGAGTAGCTGAGCTACAACACAGAGAATGTTGAGGTGCGCGCCATACGCGAGAAGGAAGTCCCATAATTTTAGCACCTCGGGGAGAGGCGGAGTACAGGCAGAGAATGTAAGGACAGCTATAGGCCCATATTAGAGGCAAGAACTAGAGTTTCGAGGAGGAGAGTGAACAAACATGGAAATGCGTATAGCTCCGCAGTCAAGAACTTTTCCTGAAGATGCCGATATAGTTTCGGGTCTACAGTCTCTAAACACTCATCCACAAGCTACACCACACACAGATTAGCACGCACTATAGCTCCTAGAATAACCACGCAACTTACCTTCAAGCCTCTATGTACGCCCTCCATTGTCGGCCTTACATACGCCGGACATTCCCTCTGTATAAACACTGCAAAGAGCGAAAACGCTTCGACCTCACTCCTCGCCGCGTACAAGAATGGCGCCGCAATTACATTCATACCCTGGACATACTGTGCTTCCACGCCCGCATCTTTCATCTTCCACTGAAACGCGTTCAGCAGTCGGATCAGCGATGCCTCTGACACCCGCCGGCGGAATAGAGGGTCAGTTGCGAGCGTCCGGAAGGTGTCGTTTCGGATCTTGGAGTAGCTATTGGAGGCGCCACGCCGCACGAGGAGGACGTAGTCGCTGGTACGCATGGGGGTTACGCCGAGAAGAATGGACCAGATGTAAATTCGGAGGGGAGACTAGGGGATTTGTAAGCTCTCTGTCCCTACTATATTTACGTATATATATATGTGGAAATGGGCTATATTTATGCATACATTCCCGTCCAAATCCGCCGTAACACCCTCTGTGAGAATAAGGTACCGCAACTCTACGAGTGCTTCTGCGAGCGAAGCGGGTGGGCTGCTGATCAAGCTCTCAATGGTACTATGCTGTTTTGGCTGCATGTTTGCTTGAGACTGGGCTTTCTTTGCAAAGCGCTGCGGGCCTGGCTGCTGCTTGGTGTCATATGCGGTTTGGGAGTGTGATCGGGCACGAGTAGTGGTTAGGGGCTGGTTTGTAATGTTGGAGAGCGTTCGGAGGCTGTTATGTGGAGGTGCTGTGGATACATTGGCAGTATCAGTGTAGTTACTGTCCAGGACGGACGTGGAGGCAAATCTCCTCATGCGCCGGTGAGGGCCAGTAGCAGTTGAAGACATCACGGTATGTCGATATAAGGAGCGTGGTGTTTTTTGTGTATGTTTTGAGGAGCAGTCCGGAGGTGATGTAGAGAGCGTCTATTATGATTATGGGCGTATAGCGGGGGGGGGGGGGGGGGGGGGGTGCTATGTATATATTTATTATAATGAGTGTGAGTGTTGTTTCTTTCTTCCTGCTGTGCTGAGAGAGCTTGTGTTTCCTTTAAAGGTGGTAGTGAAAGTGGTTAGCTGTCCCTCGTTCTCCGTGTTGTTCGTGGTTAGTGTGTTTGTGGGTTAGCAGTCAGTCTATATACGGTGCAAGTCTACAGAGTCGTAGTGCGGTGTCTGAGTGTTGTCTCGACGATCAAATCAACAAAGCCGTCGAACTAGCCAAGACTAAGGAACGGTCGGCTGTCCGTGCGTCGCCAAGCCGTCTTCCCTGACTGGTGGGCCCCATCGTAAGCGTGCGAGTGCGTCGACATCTTCACTTTGCTTCCCCTCCAGTGCCTCTGACGTCGTCCGTCTGTCCCCTGTTGACCTCGTCCATCACACCCGCTCACTCGTCATGTCTGCCCAACCCATCAAGACCCCCTCCTCGGCCTCTACGCCCTCTGCCGTGCCCGGCACCACCGAAAAGGGGGCCATGCTCTACTACGAGAAGCTCCGCAAGGAGCTGCGCGAAATGCTACAGCGTAAACGCGTTCTCGATAAGAACCTTGTACGCCTCTCCAGAGCTAGACTTTTGAAAGTATTTTTGGCAGACTAACGAGCAGTGCAGGCACAGTACGAGGAAAACATCGCGAAATGCGAGATCGGCTACCTCGAGGACACACAGAACGGCAACATTGTCAAGGGATTCGACAACTACATCAAGGGTACCGCCGCCCGGCGGAGGACCAATATCAGTGATGCGGACCGCATATTCTCGTTGTCTTCGTATTCATATGCTGCAAAGGTATGGTTGTTCTATGATATTCGCCACCTGCCTCCTGGGGAGTGGTTATGACTGACAATGGTGGAAAATATAGCTTCAACAGCAAGAAGACGCGACCCCAGCGACTAGCACCTCGACGCCGACGGTGGCCGAGAACTTGCCCAGGCTGAGTACCCAGAGCCGGAATAAGAAGAAGCGGAGAAAGGGAGAAGACGAGTCGGAGAGCCCGTCGGAGGTCGAGACACCGGGGCACAAGAGGGTGCGCATCTCTTTCTCGGGACAGGGGCAGGCGTAAGATTTGGATCGTAGCAGATCTTCATTTTTTTTTCTTCCTTTTTTTCGTGGTAAGACCTATATCATTGGCATTGTTTGGTGGCGTTTTGGGAGGTATGTTTGTTTTATTGCTTTTGTATTTTTTTTTGATAGCTGGTGAGATTTGAGGCTAGTGTAGAGAATTGGTGGCGGGGGATAATCTTTTTTTTAGTTGATGACAATTGATGGTAATGATGGTTTGAGGGATACATGTGCGGTGTATATATATGCACAGCAAGTATCGTCTGATAAAGATACAGGTTCTCGCTCTGTAGGACGGCTTTCTATGGGCCGGGACGCTCAGTGCAAGAGTAAAGAAGAGCTATTTGAGTAACGTCAAGGGATAGTTCATTGTATTGTTACAGAACATCTCACTGGCAAGTGATATGAACATAGCAGCCAAAAAAGTGGAATATTTAGTTTGATATACATCCCAAAAAATAACCATGTATTGACGATTGTATTTTGATCAATTTATATAAGCCCTAGTTCGAAGTCACGACCAAGCTGGTGGGTATCTTCTTTCGCTTGGGGTGGGCGTTGTTGAATTGTAAAAGAAAATCTTTCATTCTTCCCCCTCCAGTCGCTCTTTGCTTCCTAGCTTCCGAAACTGGGGAGCGCAAACGCTTCTTGGTTCTTGGGTTCAGCTCGCCGAGGGACCGAGAGGAGCTTGTATTTACCCCTACCATAATGCCCCCCATGAGCCTGTTCAAGAAAAGCCCAGGGTATAGGCTCATCTTATCTTGCCTCATGGGGGTCTTGGCTTATTACATCCCATTTTATGAGCCCAAGCTCATGAGATATGAATTTGTATGAGCCTTTTCTCATGTGATAATCTAGGATTTGAGTGAATGACTTTCCTGCCTGTAAGACTCTATCAAGTGGGGTTATCACTGTAAGTCTGAATAATCAGTATCATCTAATGAAGAGATGGTGGAAATAGATTTGTCTAGGCTTGTACACAAAGTAAAGAAAAATCAATGAAATTTTCTCATCAAATCTAGATTCAAGTTAGAAAACACCTGACCAAGTATTGAATAGTTTTTAAGAGTTAGTGATGTGATACAAATCTTTAAAAATCTTGCGACAGGATTCAGCTAGATAGAGAATGGTCATAAGCTAACTTCTCCTATGAGAGCTCCAGTCTATTGGATTCAAGCCCGCAGCTCAAATTCCGCTATAATATGTAGAAAATAAGATTTTACTAGCAAGTCCCTATATATTCATGCCTATATAATTATATTACGTAAGTAAATATGTGTTATCATATTATGCATGCGCGCGCAGTGACCATACCAGTCAATCATTTATTCGTAAAAAGAAATATGGCCAGCCTCAAAGTTAAACTCCTAAGACCTCAAGGGTATATAAGGAAATGGCTAGTTAGAACGAGAGGCCTCGAGGATATCTTCAAATCTCACGTCCTCGAGCGAGCGCCCTTAATTGTGGGCCATACAGGCGTCATGTGTCTTGTGAGGGCTTGTCATCATCGAATATCACTCGGTGCCAAGAGAACACTCTCCGCTCACCTACATGTGTCTCAGGATGACAACGTTCAAGAGAAAAGAACTGGTCGGGGCTAAAGTAAAGTGAAGAACTATGATAAGGAAGCAAAGAGTGATAGGGAAAACAATGACAGTGCGTGTGGATACATATAAGGAAAACAGTAAGCTTCCTTTAATACTTCCTTCACATAACGCCGATGAAAACCATTCCTACCCTGGTCGTTACTAACACCCTGGCCGTTATCATCACCACGTTTTCCTGGCACCCTGACTTTGGACTTTAAAACCGGCTGCCAAATTACGAACCATGCCGCTGTAAGTTTGATTATGAAAGGTCCAAAGACCGCCTTTCACTCCTTCGATTCAGAGGGCAGTGAGAGAATACTGCCCTTGAGGTGCAATTTATGCCGCCTTAAATACCGCTTTAGACTAGTCTGAATAAGCAAAGAAAAAAGAAAGGATCAACATCTGTAGCAACCGCAGTGATTGCCTAGGTCAGGTCAATGATCGCTCAGACAGGAAAAGCAGCCTGTAGTGACACCACTGCTGCGACCAAACTGAGGGTAGACAGAGGGAAACATAGGCTCGTAACATCATCTGGGTGACTATCCGGCACCCGGGAGGATGAGTTGCGCATAGGGCTTAGGTACAAGACTAGGGTCCTACGCAATCCCCTTTGTTATCTTGTCAGTAAATCTAGATGTTCAGAAAAGCAGAACGAGGCTACATTCATTCTAATTACGATCATCATACTCATTGACTGAATGGCTCAAAATATTCACTACTAATATAAAGAATGGGTTTCATAACTTAAGCATCATACAATGCCTTAGTCCAATCCCACTTCTCCCACGCCTCTCTAAACACTTTCACTCTTGCTCCCTCCCCACCCCTCTTCCACCTTCCCTGCCTCTTCACAACTTCCATCCCCACATCCAACATACCTCCCAGGACCTCTCTTGCAAATAGGTCGCCCTTCGGCCACCGGTTTTCATCCTCAATGATGTGGCCAAGCCCCCCATCAATCTCTAGCCACACATGGAAGTACGGCATCTGCTTGACAAAGCTGCGACGGAATGCCTGCTTACCAAGCCCTTCTTTCCGGGCTCGCGAGAGCGTGTCAATGAGCTTTTTGTGCTGCGACCATTCCTCATCTGCGGACATGATGGCTTCCTTGAAGTACGCAGCAGCGGTCTCGCCGAGCTCGACTGGCAGCGGGACGGCGGTGATGGCAGCATGGCGCTTGCGTTGTGGGGAGGCAGCGTTCTCGTAGAAGATTACGGAGCGGTTTTGAGAGGTATACATGCGGGTTAAGCTCTTCATGAAGTTCTGCAAGATTTCACTAGGTTAGCTGCGGTACTTCTCCATGAAAGTGAATAGATAACTGAAAAATAGTGCCATACCCGAACCTCTTCCCACTCGTCGTCATCACACTCCATCATGTTGACCCTATGCTGGATCGGAACAATGACGGCGCCTCCAGCGCTCAATTCTGGCTCCGTCGGTAGGGTCAAGAATACCCTGGTGCCCGTCGCTACGACCGGCGCGACTGGTGGCTTGTCGTCCTGCTCGCACAGCGGACATGTATTGAGGACCTGCTGCATGCGCTTGAACTCGTTGATAGCCATATTTTTCAAGTCGAACTCGCTGCGCTGAACGTGTTTAGCCAACTTGGTCGCATTCTCGTCAAGATAGTCGAGATTGTCCTGTTTCTGTTAGTAGGGGTCCTAAGGAAAGGCTCCTCGAAAAGTAGATGGGAACTTACATCGAACTTTGCATCCCTGGAGATGCGCTCAGCGAGGAGCATGCCCTCACCGCCGGCGACGGCTCCGCGTGTCCGCTTTTCCTCACGCACCATATCGTCAAGTGTCATCTCATCGTTCGCCTCAACTTTACCCTTTTTACCTGCGACAACTTCACGCCCCATGCGCCCTTCCAGGCCAGCAATGTGGCGGGAGTCCATAGCCGTGATCACTACCTGCTGCGACGGGTTGGCGCTCGGATTTTTCCTTGCCTCTGCGGCCGCTGCAACAGCATCGTTGTACTCCCGTTCCATATCAGCAGCCTTTGGATCGCCCTTAATTTGCGCCTTCAAGTATGCCGCCTTCATCCGATTGAGCGCTGTCTGATCCAAGATCTTGACCGGGGGTGCTATCGTCTCCAAAACTTGAAGCTTGGGAAGTCCATAGTCTGCCTGATACCGCTCCTCCTTTGCCCTTCGCTTCATGTCATCATCCGCCGTCTTCTTGAGCCGTTCCGCGTATAACTCCCCCGTTGGCCTTGTTTTCGCGTCCCTCCGGTCTGTCCCGTACATGTCCCTCCTCCCCAGCTCCATCTCTTCCTCTCTTGCCTCATCAAACGTTTTCAAATCGCCATATCTCTCTATCGCAATTTCGTCGAGGGATTTACCACCCTCGGCCGCAGCCTCGTAGACGCGTTTGAGCCTTGTCATGCGCCATTTTGAACCGGAGTCGCCGAAGGTGTAGGGTGGCTCGTCGTTGGTGTCAGCAGCGTATTCGTCGACGGATTTTCCCGCAATAAGCTGCTCGTTAAGCTCGTTCTTGTGGATAATGGGACGATAGTCGGGCTTTGTGAGGGTCTTTGGCGGCGTGGCTTTACGCACACCTCTTTGCGTGTAATCAATGAAGTCGGCATCGGGCTCGGTCATCCAGGTGTCCCGCTTTAGAGTAGGTTCGGAGTTTGTAACTGGAGTCGGGCCGACGGTTTCCGTAGAGGCTGCAGGCGCTTCTACCCATTCGCCGGTGTCTTCATCGCCACTTTTGTCTGCAGACGTGGGGGCGGCTTTCCCATCTTCGCCGTCTTCTTTCCGTGACTTCCGGCGCCGTCGTCGATCATCATCGTGGGAGCTATCGTGACGGGAGCGCTTCTTACGATGGTGGCGGTCGGAGTCTCGGTCTCGGTCTCGGTCTCGGTCTCGGTCTCGGTCTCGGTCTCGGTCTCGGTCGCCTCTGCTTTCGCCCTTGTCTTTGCCCGAGGACCTGTGGTGTCGGTCCCTGTCCCTGTCCCTGCCCTCGTGTTGTTGATGGTGGCTGCTGCGGTGGTGTCGGTGGGATCTCTCTCTGTCTCGTGACCTATCCCTATCTCTCCGACTCTCCTTCTCTCGTTCCACTGGCGCCGGCGACTTTTCCCTGCTCTCTGATGCCATTAATTGTGCTTTTCTGTCGTTGTTGATGTTGTTCGTGTTGAGATAGGGGACATTGACGTTGGTGTTTAGGGATGACGTGCATACAAGGGTTGCATGCTGGTAAGGGATAGGGCAGAAAGCCAGGACAGCTGCAGGACTACATTCCAATCGCCTTCCCTAGATCGATTGTTACCAACTTCAATTAGGTCCAGGTATTTGACAGCAATGCCTACTATCTTTGTTTAGGCGAGCATTCCTCATGTTCATGTAAACGCCTAATGATGTGAAACTGTTCCACGGATACGGTATTTAAATGGCCATAGAGAGCTTGTTACTCATCAGTTGAGTGGGCTTACTTACAATAAATACCGCAACCAGATATACCTGTCTAACCTAGGCAGTGTCATTACAAATGAGTAGGTAATCCTAACCTGTGCTTAGAGTCACCAACGTGATTTTATGAATTCAATACGAGGCCAGCTGCCATACAGTTATTTGTCATATTAAGGAGAGACAGGCCATCACTTCTCAGATCTATCGCTACTATGCAGTCTGTTTCGATATTGCAGCGGAAGTTATCGGATACAGCTTTGGATATATGTATCTCCGATACGTCGATACGGCACTCGATTGGTGGCAATGACTTTTCTACAAAAATTAACTTCTGCCGAGGCTAGATGATTACTATCAAAAGCTTACTTGTGCCTAGGCCTCTACTTAGTGCAATACACGATTTTAATTGCAGAAACAGGAAGGATTCACAAAAGGATTTAATTGCACAAACAGGAAGGATCCACAAAAGCCAATGATTGAGAATTCGAGGCGTGTTTCTAGTCAAGTACAGTCTATTATATTACATACACCCTCCTCATCCTAGCTTGAAATATCGTTTCTCATGAAGTAATTAAGCCACTAACTAAAATACATAGACAAAAGAAACCTATTTTTCTCCATCGCCTGAAGTATGATGCCCCCTCATATGTAATATAACTGGAATTTCCAATCATTGTCTACTAATTATATTTCATCAAAGTGAAACAAAATTAAGCTTGCATATATGCACTAAAAATACTCCTCAACCATTGGGCGAAAACACATGGCAGTAACTCAAGCCCGTAAAGCAAAATAAAAAACAAGAATAAAAAAAAAAAACATGGAAAAGGATCATTACCTTACGCACTCAAATTACGACTCATGATCCTCTTTCTCGCTGGCGGCCTCTTGACTAGTACCGACTGAAGTTCCTTCTGTAGTGCTAGTCCTGCCTCAACCCTCTTCTTCTGCTCCAGTGCCCTCGTTCTCTCTTCGGCCACTTTCAGGATCCGCTCCTCCCTCGTCATCATGCTCCTTGGCCGCGGCGCCGATACGGCTTCGTAGACTTCCTCAACATCGTGCTCTTCCTCTGTTGACGCCGATGGGGGTGTATACAGGCCCAGTCCCAGGGCATCGGTGTCCTTACTGAAGGTCATTGAGTTCCTTGGTGTCTCACCAACCAGCGTAGCACCACTGAGGGACTCTGGGGACTTCGTCTGCGGTGAGTTGCGGTCGAGGTTCATGGCGAGGAAGGAACGGCCGTCCTCCCATTCGCTTACCAGTGCATGTAAATCTGAGCCAATCGAGTCGTAGTGTGCGATGAGCTCTGGGGCAAAGTCGCTGAAGTCTTGCGAGTCGCGGGAGTTGCGATCGGATTCTTCTCGCAAGACGTGCATTTTGGCCTGTAGGCCGCGGAGGGCCTGAGAGAGGGAATTAAGCTTACGGAGTTGGCCACGGTAGCGCTCGTTTTCGACGGTGTTGGTAGTTAGTTTGGGGGTCGGAGGGATTATGAATTCTGCGTATTTTGGAAAGGGTGTCAGCTGGCTTGCGCGTAATTTTTTATGTGTACTTTGTAGGCAGGTGTGGATGTATATGTAGGTTGCTTGTAAGTCAAGTCGGAATCGAAATTGTTATACGGACCTTGTTCTTCGCTAAGTATTCGCTTCAACTCGGCCCCAAGTTCACCCATTAGTTTTCCCAGAGCTTGCAATTGCTCAACAACCACACGCCATTTATTGTAATCCGGGTGAGCACCGTCAGCATCAACTGCTAAAAAACAACACAGCAGTATCCGGCGGATAGTATGAAGCCGGTGTAGTAAGCTCTTCAAAGCCTTCAAGCTCTCCATGTCCTCAAAATCGTCTTTGTTGATGCCTACATCCATGTTCCCCATGTCCTCTCTTTGGATATCGTATATATCATAATATTTCTCCAGGTCTACTTCCTGAGTAAGATTGCGGAGAGATTTACACGCCCCAATGTGGGGAGGGATCCCCAATGTGAGTGCGGACAGAATTGAGCGCCGAAGCCGGGCACATCGTCGTGTCTGACTATCTCTCTCCAATCTAGTGATGGGCGGCAGAGGCGTGCTACTATTGAAATCGTCAGTAAACATTCATATACCCATAAAAACCGATCCCGAGTTATCGAATTCTCCCCAAGATCGTTTTATAAAGACCCAACGAAGGACTCACAGCCTATATCCCCTCGAGACCAACTCGACCTCCTGGATCAGTGTGACGGCGTTTGAGGCTAGCACATCGAACGACTGACTATTCTGCACAAACACTGTCGCAAACTCGATTGCCTTTGACCTTAGTGAACGCAACCACGTCCGCCTCGCATGGGCAAACAGGAATATGGCCACCATCACGGAGAGCAACAGCGCTGCGATTGCCCGCCCTTTTCCTATCCCGCTACTTCCATTACCACCCCTCAAAACCCATGCCAGTAGTAATGAAATTGCGAGAACGAACCCTCCACTACCAGCCCAGTATCGACTCTTTGCGTACTGGGAAGCAAACATATGGGAGGAGACATCTTCGTCGAGAGAGGGTGCGACTTCCCCAGATTTGCGGTCGTAGTGGGAGACGTTGACATGCTCGTTCAGGAGTTGCGAGGCCACAATCACATAGCGAAATCGTTCCAGGAATCGAGCATTCTCGGATCTACTCAATCGGGAATCTACAGCTTTCTAAAAAAAAAAACCCCGAATGACCACAATCAGTCTGAGAGCTTTGTTTGAAAGCAAGGTATGTAAGGTAAGGAGTCTTACAGAGAAGAGCTCATAGAACTTTGCCTTCCGCGCCCATCCGGGCTCTCCCATGCCCAACTTCAATCCTCTAGTTGTGATTCGTGCCGACAACGGCGGTGCGAAGTGGTGATGTTCATTATAATCATCCGCTGGATCCGATAGTTGAGGCTCGATTTCCCAATCGGCCGCATTTTCTCCATTTCCTGCAATATCGAACGCGCGCATACGCGACAAAACCCCATAAGCATGTGTTCCCCTTCCTTACTTCTCTCTGCTGCGGGCGACGGTTAACAGACTAGGGACCAGGACAAGTACACACCTTCGAGATACTCCGCCAATGGCGAGTTTGCATATACTATGGACTCCATGAAGAAGAGTGTAAAGGGAGGGGATGGTAGCTAATTTACAGTTTCTTCTTCTTCTACACAGTGCTTACACATGTAGGGAAGCTCTCTCTCCCGCCCGGAGCTGTCGGGGATTCCGGGGGCAGTGTGGGTTTTGCACGGACCAGTTCGCTGCTGCACACACAGGCTGGGCTAGCTACTCTACTGAAATGGTAAATGAAGACGGACCCAGTGGAGTCGGGATCTGTTCGAGAAGGGCGATGGAAGATGGCAGGAACAAACAGGGCCCACGTGTTCACATCTTTCAGTAGCCACAAAGAAAACCTGATCTCTTGCCAAACAAACCTCTCGCAGCACACCTCCTCCTTTTTTTAATTATCAAAATCACGGGTTCCGTTCATGTGGGAGAGTCCACATTAACCCACCGTACTAATTACCCTGACGACTACCTACATTACCTTACCTTCCCCTGTCAGAAACAGCTTCAAGAAGGGAAGGTGAGCTCCAAGGATCTTTGGTTACTCAAATCTCCCATGTCCAACACTACTTGAACCTACCAGCTTCAACTCTTCTTTTTCAGCCCTCGAACTGAGCTGGGAATTTTATCGTGGCTACCTAGATTTTATATAGCTAAAGGATCGCTCCGGAATTTGGCGAGATCTTAAGCAACTCGGACATAAAATCTGCCCGCCCCTGCCGAGAAATCGTGCAACCAACGGCCTAAGCCTCGCTCGTAGGCTCGTTCCTAATGCCCTGCATGCTGACCTCGTGGCGAATAACAATGCAATTCTTCAACCTCCAGGATGACAAAATGCTAGTGGACGCTCGCTGCCCGTCTTACATACTCCTCATGACCTAAACGTCCCTATGTCATAATCCACTCACTCATATCCCAGGGTGTTCTCGGGGGTTCTCCGCATTGCCTTTGCTTATGATTTAATGACTGATTTGTAAATGGAGTCCAAGTATCTACATAGCAAGGCTACGATTCTGGACAGATATGTGGTCCTTGGTTTTTATTCTCTTGGCCGGGTTATACCTCTTGTATATCTACTATTGCAGTGCTCTTTGTATAACCTATCGGGTTTTTGTCAACTCGAATTAATACCCATGCTGCTATTTGTTTTCCTGATACACCTAGATAGTTCATGTTTTTTAGTTTCCACTCGTAGCCATAGCTAACTATCGTATATAGTAGTATCTACATGTACTCAGTTGCATATTCTGCTTTACCTGAGTCAGGCCGGAGAAAGCTAGGCAAGGCAGCCTTCTTTAATTCTAGTTCATCTTGACCGCAAGGTTTATTATCCAACGGGTATCATTGAACCCAAAACCTTTGCGGCTCGAATGCCACCGGCATCTTATTCCACAGCCCATCGGTTCTTGTGAAACCTTAAAGCCTGGGTCCGTACGTCTGTCTGCTGTTCCTTGGTCCTGGGAATTCAGTTGCTCTAAGATCGAGGTACAGTTGCATATTTTTCGCTTATGCTACTGTCTCACCGAGCACTCGGGTCCTCACGGCATAGATATGCCGATGAAATACTAGGTATTTACTATCTGCAACCTATCAACAATTGATATACCAGTAGGGCTGTAGCCTGCTACACCCGAAACAGCTCTTGTTCCGGGAAGACAAAACCTTACATAGCAGTACCGGGGACCTGGGAAACTGCTGCACGCTCAAAAGGCACCATCCCGGGGAGAGAGTGACTCCTTCTCCTCAGATGTTGATCAAAATAGATTTTTATTATTACACTACAGCCAATTGTTCAATGAGGCCTGGGTGGCGTTCGAAACAAGAGATGAGAATATCATCTTTACTTTTAGGGCAAAAAGACTCGGAACACGAGAAAGATCCACTCATCCCAAGAGTGTCTTTCAGCTCTGAAATGCACCTCATCGTCATTCGTTGACAATTCGGTCACTTTGTCTGTTGTTTTGGAATCTGTTTTTTTTTTTTTTGTTTTCTTGGGGCATGAAATGATGCATTAATGCTATGTATATGCAGATCTGAATATCAGCAATATATGCAATGGGATCTGTATATAATAAGCCTTCATTTTCACTTTTTCAGAATCCCCAGAGCAAACAGCAGAGAGCATCACAGCATTCAATACTATACTCAATCAACCCTTCAAAACTTCGAGCCTACTTTATATATCATACATATCTTTCTCCCAGATAACACATCTCAACTCTCTAAAATCTCTATAAACTTCAATCCCCCCACCCTCTTCAATTTAAAAAACCTCACAGACAATCCCACAAATCTATTACAATGGAAAAACACGAGCAGCTCATCACCAGTGCCAAAGCCGGCCTCACCACTGTCCGCAACACTCTCTCTCACAGCCCCTCGCAGTGGAAAAAACACACAGACACAGTTCGCACATGCGTAAACAACATTGAAACCAGCAATATCATGCTAGGTTCCAACCGCCTTGAAGAGAGACTGTGGTTCATCACTGAGATTCAAGAATTTGCATACTTTGATGCAGACAGTGGTTCAATCGCTGATCTTGCGGCATGGTGCGAACGAGAATGGAACAGAGTTCTTAGCACTGATAGTACCAACATTGATGCCTTGAGAGGTATGATTGTCTTTGTTTTATATCACCAAATATTATTACAAAATGCTTATTTTTCCGTAAAGGCCTTGGGCAAGCATGGCTTTCAAAAGCGCAATATTGGCTTGCCAAGATCCATCAAGAAGAAGGATCGGCTTCTGGCACTGAAGAAGATGATAGGACCGAGGAGAAAAGAAGGCATACCGCTAACTATGTCGAGGCCCGTGCGGTTCTCATACCTGCGGTTGAATTTTTTGGAAGAGCTGTTCAGAATGCGCACATTCGCCAATGTCTCACTGGAGAGCTTCTAGCACTTGTAGGTTACCCTTCGTATCTACTAGATGTAGCATTAGGGACTTTGCTGACCACAGGCATAGCGTGCGGAGGCCTGTATGTCTCTCGGAAACGTCTCCACTCTAAAGAATGCACAGCAGCAATTCAAAGACGCAGTTACTGCATTGAAATCGGCGGAGATAATTCCTGGCTATACCTTACCGTCTCATTTGTCTCAGTGAGTAATATCATAGACCCCTTTATTTCCTTTTGTAGAAACCAATACTTATTTTGCGGGAAAAGGTATCTTAGAGAAAATGAGTATATTCTCCGAATGTAAATGGATATATGCCCTTCTATCTTATTATCTGCGAGGTTTGGGGAAAGAATCGAAACGGTTTTAGCATCTTAGCGTTTTAGTTGGCAGTTTTTTTGTAGACGGTGGAAGTTGGTATATCTGCTTTTTGTATCTTTGATTATGAATTTGTTGTCTTCTGTGTTGTTACTTACTCTCTGCTATTATTACACACTTATAACTATAAAATCCCGTTTTTTATGCCTGCATATGTACATGCATGCATACCTCCCATGAGGCGAAGTGGGAATAATCGACTGCCTCCCACAATTATGAAACACGGGGTTGAAGTTTCCCACGTGACATCGTAAGCAAGTGATAATATTGTAGGTACTTCTAGCCTTGTGGGTAGCATAGTACATACATGTATGTACCTACTTCTAGATTTTCAAGTCTTGGTACCGGTATTTTCTGTTTAGTGATTGACGGGGTTTTGATGCAGGTTCGGGCTTAGTGCTTATGCGCGCCTGCATATATGATATTCCAAATCAAAATTTCGCTTTTAACTTGAAAGAGGTGAAATAATAGATAAATTATGATGTTTAGTAAAAACCAAATTGAACTGATGACGGAGACTTATATGTACTAAGTTTGTAATAGTAGAAATATTATTGATATAACTACGCATGAGTGGAGTAGCATCAATAGTACCAATCCGCGGGTCTGTCTGTACCCCAGTCCTCATGAAACCCCAGAGCTTCAGATGTCAACTGACGTTTGTGACTGCACAGCCTGTAAAATAGCGTGCTCTTATACAAACCGCACTTACTTTTCCGATTACACACAGTCTGGGCGGTTATTGCACCATGAACTGTCGTCCAGAACCTACAGGGTTAGGTCTTTCTAAGCTTTCAAGGCGGTGCAGATCTCGCTTGACTAACGTTGTGGCGGTACACTGCACAAGTGAAATAAGGTTTTGTCCCCCTGGCGATCTCTGGAGATTTCCGCGCCGCTGCATCGTGTTTTCCTGGTTCCTGTCTCAGAGCACAGCCGCGTCGCATATGTCTGGCTCTTCGTATCCTTCGGTACCTTCGGGTCATACAATACAAGGCTGCATACTGTTCTGAGGGTCACCGGTTATGCAGTTTCGTTTCGTTTTGCACCCTCAAACTTGATTGTTTGGTTCGCCTCCAGACCAAGCGTCTGTATGGCTCGGTAAGCAAGGATGCGTGCGATCTTACGATCTATAAATACAATCCTTTAGATCTCCTGTTTACCTGATGTCTAGACAGGAACATAATTGCATAGAGGCAAGGCTTTTCAACTCCCAGACCTAAGCCTAGTGTCCACTTATCAACCAGAATATGTATGTATATGTAGTTTGGCCCCTGCGCACGTGCCGTAGGTAGGTACATCGAATATACGGGCTGAGCTACTAAATTGGTGAGGGTGAGTACGTACGTACTTCAGGTTGCTAGTAACGTGACCAGAGGTGTTACTATGTCGGTAGATAATTTTGCACTTTCTAGTGGGGTCCGTAATAATCCGTGTAAGAAAAGTATGGTTTCCTTCTAGATTTCTGCCTGTTCAGGTTTGAGACATAAACGTCAAAAGATTTAAGCATTCCTCGTGGGTGTAAGGCTGAAGCTACCCAACCCCTTTCTGAGGAAAAGGCAGCCTTGCACAAACTCCGGTAGAGATAACTTCTCCAGCCAAGACCACAAAGTCCGGGACCCTAATATTTGA